TCTCAATTTCCTGCTCATCTACATCTCCTAGTCCTGCTGTATCGATTAGGTTGACCAAATTGTGAAGTTAACGATTAAGGATGCACCGATAAGCAAAATGGCCAAATACCAATTAATCGGCCGTGCATTATCGGCCGATACCGATTAGTGTTAATAATTTATTGCATTAATAGTGTGAGATCCTGGAGTTAATTATACAGTTAATTATAATGTGGAAAAAACCCATTTTTCTCCACCTGGTATTTCCATCTCCCTCAGGTCAGGTAAANTTTTATTTAAAGTTTAAACTTTATACAGTATTATATGTTATATTATACTAATAATATGTATCGCTACTCATCTTTACCACAACACCGGAGAATAGTAATATAACTCTTTCTAACCTGTTACCGGTGCGTCTACTAACTCTTAACGATCCAAAACGAACCAAAACTAACGTTTTCGAACTCTTATAACGGTTCTTCAGAAGAAGAACCGTTATAAGAGTTCGAAAATATGTATCGATGAAAGGAATAATGTGAATTGTAAAATTTTTTTAATATTCAGTTTGTCATGTAATAAATAATAAATATATAACAGAAATTTATTAGGTTTTATTACTAGCATTGTACATAACATTCTAACAAAAATACCAAAATGTAAAATTGGCCAATTATCGAAACCGATTAATCGGGGAAATGCGTCGATACTGATTAATTGGCTAAGTGGCCGATACGGCCGATTACCGATTACTTACCGATTAATCGGTGCATCCTTATTAACGATACAGTGATAGGCTCTTCTCATTGAGAATTCTTCGATACTTTCAACCATAACTTCTTCCACACTTTGTTCATGCAGTTATCAGTTAATTCTTACCAGGTGAAGTTGATATTGCCTATGGCATACATGATGTTATATTTTTTTCCAAAATTGTACCAAACAAACATATTTAAGGAAAGTACAGCACTGTGACGAATTGTCATCTTTTGCTGATTTGTTCATGTTTGGGAATAATCATATTATATAAAAATCAACAAAATGCCGCAATAATTTGAATCGGCGTTAATCAAGGCAGTGTTAAACGGGGTCTTACTGTATATAAGAATTTTACTTTAAGGCATGGAGACAATTTCTCAAGATAGTTGAAAAAAATTTTATTTATTTATTGCTGAATATTTGAACTTGCATATCCACTTTTACTTTCCCAGCTGTTATGTACTTATACATAATAAGGAAAAGTATTTGAATTGTGTTAAACTTGACCTGGATTTTTTGCAAACTTCCACATTTTGAGACATCCTGAACCCAAAAAGTAAAAACAGGAAAAAATTCTGTGGATGTGTGTGTTGGTGTCTATTTTGTTTAATATCTCAGGATATGGGGTAATGATTATGAAATGAAATTTGGCACTGTAAGTTGGTATATGAGAGGCATTGATGCTATTAAATTTTGGTAGTTAAAGGTCAAGGAGTGAGAAAATAGAGGGGTCACGTGTAACATCTTAAGAGTATTCTGACTTATGAAGATTTTACTCGTTATTAAAATTACCAATTTTTTATAAAATTCATCACTTCTGTCAAAATAAGCCTTTTGCCATTTTTTTATAATTAATAATATAAAAAGTTTTTATAAGAAAAATCTCATAATAGATGATGCCATGCAATTTTATTTATGATGATTAACCATATTAAAATTATTTTTTAAATAAAATCTCATAACTGCTGGGAAAGTTGTGCAATTCATTGCTGAATTTTTTTATTTCTATGCAACATCTAATCATATCAAATGTTTAATATTAAATATCACAGCTGTTATTAAAAAATGATTTTGTAATCAAGATAAGAAACTTACATAAAGATCAAAGTTAACCATATATATAGAATTTAATGCTCTTGTGTAAGTGTTTTTGAGTATGTTTTTATTAATTATTATTTTGTACATAAATTATGTATATTATACAATTATTTATTTTGGATGAAATTATATCTTAACTAACTTCTTGTTGACTATTCTATCATTTTTCATCTGCTCCTTTACTGTCCTTGGTTTGGTAACCTACACTTATTTCTCGCAGTTTTCTGGTGACACGACTGAACATCACTTGTGGGATACACCCAAACTTTCATATATTCTCTCTTATCCATTATTCCATTTGGTTTTGGTATATAAGTTTTACTGTCAGATGGCCTTTCTGACACCAACCCTCACCATTTACCAGACTTGGGACAAGCACCTAATGGGCTAGCTTGCCCCCTCTGTGGCTGGTATTTAAAATGACTCATTTTGTTTATTATTATTATTTTTATTTATTTTTTCCTCATAAAAAATTATTACTGTTTTCTTCTAATAATCATAACATTTTGACACTAGGTTTATCCCTGACAGATTAGGTCAGTTTGCCATCAACAGGCTGCTGGGGCTTAGGAAGAGGACTGAGCCTGTTGATTACATAAAATGATATTGATACCCAGTGACTAATTGGAATCATTAAAAACTAATCAAACAAGTAGTTGCTAAAAAATTTACATTAACTACAAAGTTTGTAGTTTTTACAAATAAGATAACAGTTTTTTTTTAATTTATAATAAAATTTCCTCATTTGTAGAGGTTTTTTAAACTCTTTCCACTCTATGGATACTAAGATGGCCTCTTTTAGCAAGCCCATAATGGGGCCAGGGACAACTTGTAACTTGTTAAGTCTCCAATACATTAAATTAATTAATTTAAAAAAAGAAATTAGTCTTAAATTTGTCTGAGAAATGATAATTAAATTGGAACCTGAAAATAAACTATCAATAAATATAGCTGAAGATCAAAATCAGTGAGTTGGTAACATTGATTCATAGTTTTATGTGACTTTTGAAGATGAGAACTTTTAATTCTTAGCTTTTGGTAAAAAATAAGTAGAAATTTAAAAAAAGTAAATAAAATGTATGAAAATCTGACATATTTTACATCCTTAACCCAAAAGAAAAATAAACTCTCATATTTATGAATTTAAAATCAAACAGAATGTTTGAAAAAATTTATACTTATTTGAAAAATAAAATAAGTAGATAGCCGTCCTTTATCATCCTAATATGCGTACCTGTCTTAATGTCTCACTGGCAAAATGTACTAAGTTATTTATTAATAATTAACAATGTATAAATAATGTTTCTAAATTATAATTATTAACTGGACAATTATTTGAAATGTATACCTAGTCTCTAAAATGAATAAAATTGTAAGTAAATAAATAAGAATAATATTACTAAAATAAAATTCCTAAAATAGAATGTAGCAGTGTATAATAATAATGACAATAAATTTAATTTGATATACAAATCATATGTCTTGTTTTTAACATTTCTGTAAATATTGTAAAAATTCTCATATTTACATTTGGATCCCAAACTAAAGATGTATAAGAATCATCTAAAACTATAGTCCTAAAAACACTATCATGTGTAAAAAGTTGACAAATAAACATCAGATGATGTGCTGAATCCGACTCACCACACTCACAGAGTGGAGAATCAACTAACCAAAAACCAAACAATTTCTCTCTATAATCACCATGACCCAACAAAATCTGCGTAACAAAATAATTAGGATTAACCCAGTGTGCCCCAAGCCTTTCTCTGACAGTGGGAAAGAATAAATATGTTAAACGACCGCGTGTATCACGTTGCCACCTATTATCCCATTCTTCAATTATTCTGTTTTTAACTTGATTAATTACCAATTGACATGCATACCTGGACGTTTCTGGCTGGTACTCAATAGTTCCAAAAACAAAAGATATCCCTGCTCTTATCAAATACTTTTAATATTCTAACTTAACAATTAAATCAATTGGCAATTCTCCAGCAATTACCTGTAAAGCAGGTATAGATACAGTTCGATATGCCCTGGTCACCATTAGGAACACTTTCTGTTGAGAAAACAAGTAGACAAAATAAGTATACAGTGTTGACTTATTCTGTAATGATATAGAATATAAAATATTAAAATTAGTTGTAGCATTTTTATGTTTCAATCTTAATTTTTTTTAGCCACGGCTAATCAAATAATTTCTATCAACATCGAGTACTTATAACTATTTTAGTAAGTTTATTGTGATTAATTGTAAATAAAATACTCAATAATATAAAAATTTAGATATTTTTATGTAGTGTAGTTATAGTGACCATATGTCCTTTATTTCACTGCTCTGTCCTTTAGATTTATTTTTTCTAAAATGGCCATTTTGTCCTTTATTTTTATAAATTGAAATAGTAAATTGAATATTGGTGCCCATACATGGCACCAGTATTTAATTTACAAATTTATTTTACACAATTTATAAATTTTACCAAACTTGCATTGATTATTTAATAGCTGGGGAAGCTCTTTTATGGAACCCCTCTGTTGGCAAGGAAGATTGAGGAACATGTTCTGTTTATTTCTGAACTTAAATATAAGTGATGGTAAACTATTTGATGAGGTTTTTTTGTATTAAAAGTTATGTTACCAGTGAAAGGATCTAAGAATGCTGACAAAACAGTGTAGCCAATGTAGATGGGTTGAAATTTTAAAATATTTTGCAGATGAGCACATATCTTTTACAACCATTTTAAAAATTGTTAAATTTTGCTTATATCTTCCTGGCTGTAATGCTTCCACTGAACAAGTATTTTCATTATTGAATAATACATGGACCAGTGAAAAATGCAATTAAAAATTGAAACATTAGAAGCAAGTGTTATATCAAGTGCAACTTTAAATGAATTGTATAGAGTTTTAAGAATTTTTTTAAAAATTTATTAAAAATTAAAACTTTTTTAAAATGTGATTGTTTAAAATGCTATGTACAGTTCATATATTTTATAATAAAGCTTTTAAGTTTTAGTGAAACAAATAAATGAAACCAGCTTTTTTTTATTATGAAACAATTTCTGATTTGTCCTTTATTTTCTACAAAAAAAATGGTCACCATAACAGCATAGTGTTTCATTTACATAAAAAAATTAATTCTCTCTTTATTTCTGTTTCAGGTTAAAATTTTAAAGAAACATGGCTAGAAATGAAAAGACACTTTTAACAAATTTAAAAGAAATCCTAAGAACAAAAGTGAAATTGACAGGAGAGGGAGAAAATGTTAAAGTTTTAGAAACTACTTTACCTCTGCTTATTAATCAAATGAAACTAGTATCACCTTTATTTAAATCTGTTTATAAACGAATTTATTATACTGGAAGTTATTATGATGGATTAAGAGTAAAAAATGCAACCGAGTTTGATTTAAACTTAGTTTTGGCATTTCCTAAAAATATGGATTTAGAGGTATGGATATTTATAAAATTATACATTATGATTTAAGCCATTACAGTTTAGTTTCTTTCTTTATGTTCAATTTTTGTAAATTTTATTTATCCAATAGATTCCAAACATGTCAACTTCAATACATGACTAGCAAAATATCTGTAGAAGTAAAACTAATTATTACTACAGATTAATTAATAAAAAGTAATAAATTAATCAACTAAGATTTCATATTTGACAATTTTTTTTTTAACTTTTATATAATTTCTGAAAGTACAATACATGCTAATAAATATTGTTCTGAAGATTCAAAAAAGGTAATTTCAATTAATGCCACATTTTGAACATCCTTAGGAACTTCAAATATATGTGAGGTTCCAGACTGAGTCCGAACACATTATTAATTGTACAATGTGTCATTTCAGCGGTAATAGTCGAGTTTTGAGCTATATGTAATTTTTTGTTATATAAAGAGTTGGCACCACTTTGGCAGAGGAAACTGTGTATAAAAGGAATTGTGGGTTGGTGGCAAAGGCTTTTTGGTTTTGTCTTGGTGTGAGACGAACATGTCTTGGTTGGCCAAAGGGACAGGCATTATATCAGGAAAATTGTACGAGCAAGTTTGTATAATTGTAAGTGACTGTGCATGTTTCCAGTAAAACCTTGTAAATTAATGTGTATATATACTTGGTGATGAGTTGAACTTGGGCGATAGCGATGTCACACTAGTTGAAGAGAAAGACAAGGGTTCTTTCTAATGGCACAAATTGTAAGGAATCTGAATTTCAACCTTGAAATCTGGGGTTTTTATAAGATCTTGTCCCCAAATTTCCTTCTCTGATTGGTTCCAACTCCCTCTCATCATTTCCTGATTAGTCTCTTCCTGTTTCCAGATGGAAATAAGACCAGTTCAGATCATGAGAAAAACCTGTCTTAGATGGTCAACCTGACACCATCCCTAGACTCTGACTGGGAGATGTTGATGGAACTAAGAAACCTGCACTTGTATTTTAGCTTATTATGTCCTTTTCTTGATATTTTAGAATGTTAACGATCGAATGCAGTGTTTTCTGTTTGTCAAACCTCCTCATTTTTTGATTCAGTTTACTTCAATCTTTTGTGTATAAGCTTCACTGTCAAAGTTCAAACTCTCCGGCTCAACACTGATCTATTGATTGACACGTGCCAGAGTTGCACTCAGGACTCACTTGTCAACTTTTGCATCACATTTATTTTCATTACAATTTCTTTTTCTCTTTTATCATGTTTGTTGTGGGACTCACAATACTCCGTATCGAGATAATTGTGAATGTGAAAGATTACCATGTGGAATGAAGACAAAGGAATTCTACTTTAACACTAAGTTTATTTACAGAATGACGTTGATATATATATATCAACGTCATTCTGTAAATAAACTTAGTGTTAAAGTAGAATTCCTTTGTCTTCATTCCACATGGTAATCTTTCACATTCACAATTATCTCGATACGGAGTATTGTGAGTCCCACAACAAACATGATAAAAGAGAAAAAGAAATTGTAATGAAAATAAATGTGATGCAAAAGTTGACAAGTGAGTCCTGAGTGCAACTCTGGCACGTGTCAATCAATAGATCAGTGTTGAGCCGGAGAGTTTGAACTTTGACAGTGAAGCTTATACACAAAAGATTGAAGTAAACTGAATCAAAAAATGAGGAGGTTTGACAAACAGAAAACACTGCATTCGATCGTTAACATTCTAAAATATCAAGAAAAGGACATAATAAGCTAAAATACAAGTGCAGGTTTCTTAGTTCCATCAACATCTCCCAGTCAGAGTCTAGGGATGGTGTCAGGTTGACCATCTAAGACAGGTTTTTCTCATGATCTGAACTGGTCTTATTTCCATCTGGAAACAGGAAGAGACTAATCAGGAAATGATGAGAGGGAGTTGGAACCAATCAGAGAAGGAAATTTGGGGACAAGATCTTATAAAAACCCCAGATTTCAAGGTTGAAATTCAGATTCCTTACAATTTGTGCCATTAGAAAGAACCCTTGTCTTTCTCTTCAACTAGTGTGACATCGCTATCGCCCAAGTTCAACTCATCACCAAGTATATATACACATTAATTTACAAGGTTTTACTGGAAACATGCACAGTCACTTACAATTATACAAACTTGCTCGTACAATTTTCCTGATATAATGCCTGTCCCTTTGGCCAACCAAGACATGTTCGTCTCACACCAAGACAAAACCAAAAAGCCTTTGCCACCAACCCACAATTCCTTTTATACACAGTTTCCTCTGCCAAAGTGGTGCCAACTCTTTATATAACAAAAAATTACATATAGCTCAAAACTCGACTATTACCGCTGAAATGACACATTGTACAATTAATAATGTGTTCGGACTCAGTCTGGAACCTCACATATATTTGAAGTTCCTAAGGATGTTCAAAATGTGGCATTAATTGAAATTACCTTTTTTGAATCTTCAGAACAATATTTATTAGCATGTATTGTACTTTCAGAAATTATATAAAAGTTAAAAAAAAAATTGTCAAATATGAAATCTTAGTTGATTAATTTATTACTTTTTATTAATTAATCTGTAGTAATAATTAGTTTTACTTCTACAGATATTTTGCTAGTCATGTATTGAAGTTGACATGTTTGGAATCTATTGGATAAATAAAATTTACAAAAATTGAACATAAAGAAAGAAACTAAACTGTAATGGCTTAAATCATAATGTATAATTTTATAAATATCCATACCTCTAAATCCATATTTTTAGGAAATGCCAAAACTAAGTTTAAATCAAACTCGGTTGCATTTTTTACTCTTAATCCATCATAATAACTTCCAGTATAATAAATTCGTTTATAAACAGATTTAAATAAAGGTGATACTAGTTTCATTTGATTAATAAGCAGAGGTAAAGTAGTTTCTAAAACTTTAACATTTTCTCCCTCTCCTGTCAATTTCACTTTTGTTCTTAGGATTTCTTTTAAATTTGTTAAAAGTGTCTTTTCATTTCTAGCCATGTTTCTTTAAAATTTTAACCTGAAACAGAAATAAAGAGAGAATTAATTTTTTTATGTAAATGAAACACTATGCTGTTATGGTGACCATTTTTTTTGTAGAAAATAAAGGACAAATCAGAAATTGTTTCATAATAAAAAAAAGCTGGTTTCATTTATTTGTTTCACTAAAACTTAAAAGCTTTATTATAAAATATATGAACTGTACATAGCATTTTAAACAATCACATTTTAAAAAAGTTTTAATTTTTAATAAATTTTTAAAAAAATTCTTAAAACTCTATACAATTCATTTAAAGTTGCACTTGATATAACACTTGCTTCTAATGTTTCAATTTTTAATTGCATTTTTCACTGGTCCATGTATTATTCAATAATGAAAATACTTGTTCAGTGGAAGCATTACAGCCAGGAAGATATAAGCAAAATTTAACAATTTTTAAAATGGTTGTAAAAGATATGTGCTCATCTGCAAAATATTTTAAAATTTCAACCCATCTACATTGGCTACACTGTTTTGTCAGCATTCTTAGATCCTTTCACTGGTAACATAACTTTTAATACAAAAAAACCTCATCAAATAGTTTACCATCACTTATATTTAAGTTCAGAAATAAACAGAACATGTTCCTCAATCTTCCTTGCCAACAGAGGGGTTCCATAAAAGAGCTTCCCCAGCTATTAAATAATCAATGCAAGTTTGGTAAAATTTATAAATTGTGTAAAATAAATTTGTAAATTAAATACTGGTGCCATGTATGGGCACCAATATTCAATTTACTATTTCAATTTATAAAAATAAAGGACAAAATGGCCATTTTAGAAAAAATAAATCTAAAGGACAGAGCAGTGAAATAAAGGACATATGGTCACTATAACTACACTACATAAAAATATCTAAATTTTTATATTATTGAGTATTTTATTTACAATTAATCACAATAAACTTACTAAAATAGTTATAAGTACTCGATGTTGATAGAAATTATTTGATTAGCCGTGGCTAAAAAAAATTAAGATTGAAACATAAAAATGCTACAACTAATTTTAATATTTTATATTCTATATCATTACAGAATAAGTCAACACTGTATACTTATTTTGTCTACTTGTTTTCTCAACAGAAAGTGTTCCTAATGGTGACCAGGGCATATCGAACTGTATCTATACCTGCTTTACAGGTAATTGCTGGAGAATTGCCAATTGATTTAATTGTTAAGTTAGAATATTAAAAGTATTTGATAAGAGCAGGGATATCTTTTGTTTTTGGAACTATTGAGTACCAGCCAGAAACGTCCAGGTATGCATGTCAATTGGTAATTAATCAAGTTAAAAACAGAATAATTGAAGAATGGGATAATAGGTGGCAACGTGATACACGCGGTCGTTTAACATATTTATTCTTTCCCACTGTCAGAGAAAGGCTTGGGGCACACTGGGTTAATCCTAATTATTTTGTTACGCAGATTTTGTTGGGTCATGGTGATTATAGAGAGAAATTGTTTGGTTTTTGGTTAGTTGATTCTCCACTCTGTGAGTGTGGTGAGTCGGATTCAGCACATCATCTGATGTTTATTTGTCAACTTTTTACACATGATAGTGTTTTTAGGACTATAGTTTTAGATGATTCTTATACATCTTTAGTTTGGGATCCAAATGTAAATATGAGAATTTTTACAATATTTACAGAAATGTTAAAAACAAGACATATGATTTGTATATCAAATTAAATTTATTGTCATTATTATTATACACTGCTACATTCTATTTTAGGAATTTTATTTTAGTAATATTATTCTTATTTATTTACTTACAATTTTATTCATTTTAGAGACTAGGTATACATTTCAAATAATTGTCCAGTTAATAATTATAATTTAGAAACATTATTTATACATTGTTAATTATTAATAAATAACTTAGTACATTTTGCCAGTGAGACATTAAGACAGGTACNATGGAGTTGTGGAGGGGACAGTCATTCACAGCAATATAACAGAGAATAAATAAAGTACATATATTAAGGTATAAGTATAAATAAAAGTACAGTTATAATAAGAAAAATAAAAATATTGTAACTATGTTCTTCACAAATTACTTGGGTAATTAATTAAATACAAATGAAACCTTTTATCCAGTAACAGCACTTCAACGAAAACACAAACATTTTTGGCCTTCACCAAGGCCTGCCTCAGGATTTTTAATGAAACCAAATTTCCAAAGTCGAATGTCAGAACAATGATGTTTGAAAATCGCTATTTTAAAATTTCGAATATCTCATCACGTGAGGCAAATTTATATGGTTGTTTGACTAAAACATGTGATCCATACCAATTTTTTAAGCTGTACATATCATATAAGATGAAATTATTATGGGTTAACTTTGCTCAACTTTTTCATACGTGTAAAGTACTTCCATGCATGTGCCGCCGTATTGCAGTCCTTAAAGTTAATACAATTGCCGGTTCTTATAACTCATTATATAAATACAAATCTTTTATATAAAATTTTATTCCTTTTTTATTAAATAGTAAAAAATTTAAAATTAAATTTTTGTAATTACTGTAAAGGTAAATTTTCTCATATTAATTTTTCTTCTTCTTATAGATAAGAACTACTAATTCTCCTCCCTCCTTCTGTACATGTAAGCTGAAAAATAAAGAAAGTTTGAGAAAGCAACAAAATTTTGAATTTATCAGTAAAATTTTAAAAGAATTTTTTTATGAAAAAACTGATTTCTTTTTACCAAATAACATCAGAAAGTGGCTTCAAGGAGTTCTTGATTCTGCACTTCGTTCATTTATACCAAGTGGTGATGTAGAAGAGGTATTTCATTTAGATTATTAATATATTTAATTCTGTAATCTAAATTAATATGAGGGCAGGCTGAAAAGTAATGCATACATGCTTGTAGAGCATAAACAAAATGATTTTCAGAAGCGTGCCAGGTGGCATATGGAAGTAACATTCTCCCTCTATGTGCATGCCCAGTTTGAGGTTGTTGCATTCATTTAGTATATTTTGAGAAGCGGAAATATGGAGACATGTTCTGGTGCTATGTCAACATGAGTTAAACAGCGTGCTGTTATCGAATTTTTAACTGCTGAAATAATTACATTTAAAGTCTGTTTATGGTGACAATGCTGTTGATAGGTCTATTGTAAATTGATGGATAATAAAATTTCATGGTTGCGAGCCTGGAAAAACCATAATTGTTGATGAAACATGCAGTGGAAGTCCAATCACTGCCATAGACAATTATCGTTGCACCTTGTTGCAATGTTTAATTCTTCTCAGTACGTACAGACTCTAAAACACCTCTGACGTTGAGTTTGACATGTTAGAGGTAGCCTGGCACCAATAATCTTGCAACATGACAATGCTCGTCCACACACTTTGCGTGCAACTGGAGAGGCTCTGCGAAACCTGAAGTTTGAACCGATTCCACACCCTCCTTATTCCCCCGATCTAGCGCCTTGTGAGTTTTATTTGTTTCCTGTACTTGAGAGATCTCAAGGGTAATCATTACACCTTAGATGATGAGGTGAAGGCAGCTGTCGAGTCCTGGATTCGAGAAAAGTCTGAAGAATTTTTCAGTGACGGAATGAAAAAAACTTGTTACACGTTGGGAGAAATGTGTTAGTTATCATTAAGGCTATGTTGAAAAATAAATATATGATTTTGAAGCTTAAGAAATGTACTTTAATGTACTTTTTGCCCGATCTTGCTATTTGTTTTTATTCGTGTTCTACAAGCATGTGTGCATTGCTTTTCAGCCTGCCTCGTACTTTAATTTGATTTCAGTTTTCAGGAATACACTAATAATTTTTCTTTTGTAAATGTAATGAGGGCTTAACCCTTACTATATTCACACAAGGTGTAGTTTAGTTTCTGAACATTCAGTTTTAAGATGATTATTAGAAAATTAAAATAATGCTAAGATTAATTTATTTTCAAAATACTGACATTTTAAAATTATATATTATAAATCTTAAATTTTTCTTTCTATATAATTTCTTATTAGAATACAGTTCTAGAATTTATTTAATATTTATTAAAAAATTCATCATTATAGAAGTAATTTTATTTAAACTTTAAGGATTATGTATATTATTGAAACAGTGAACAGAATAGACTTATCAAGGGAGCCTCTGACAATAACTAACTACATCAATGATGCTGGAATGAGACACATTAACATTTGGCACACTCATGATTTTCAGTCATATTTAATGACCTTTATCAAGAATAAATGGAAAAAGCAGAAAAAATCAAACTCCGAACTTTGAGAAAATTTGAATTAACGATACAAGCATTTTGGAACATTTTTTAAAAGGATATTTTATGGGAATAAAGAGCGCCATCTCTACATGAAGGCTGTCATTATATAACCACAGTAGCTATTAGAACGTTAAAAATATGACATTCAAGATATAAAATAACAGTAAAAATAAAAATAAAAAATACAAACAGACATAAAATATCAAACATAAACAATGTGTTGAGCAAATACATTAACTTAAGGGTTAATTAATGCCCTTAAATCCCTCAAAGAAAGGCTGTCAGAACACCAGAGAAACATAAGAAGCGAACAGCCATGCACAGTGCTGGTGACTTATGTCTTAACTGACCCCCAAGAGGTCAAAGCTGGATGGGACCAAGCTAGATTGATACAAATAGTTTGCAACAAAAAGCACCTCCGGTACGCTGAAGCCTGGCATATCTGCAAAATCAGCCAAAGAGGATTAGCTATCAACTTCCGAGATGCAAGCAAAGTATCGGCAGCCTGGCGATCAAGCATATTATAAGTGTCAAGAATGATGGTAAAGCGGAAATTTATTTAAGGGCAGAACCCTTAAGTTAATGTATTTGCTCAACACATTGTTTATGTTTGATATTTTATGTCTGTTTGTAATTTTTATTTTTACTGTTATTTTATATCTTGAATATCATATTTTTTATGTTCTAATAGCTACTGTGGTTATATAATGACAGCCTTTATGTAGGTAGAGATGGTGCTCTTTATTCTTGTAAAACAGTGTTTTTCAACCTGTGGGTCGCAAACCCCAGGGGGGTCGCGGGTAAAAGAAAAAGACAAGTGTTTGTAGGCCCTACACTACAATAAAATAAACTACAATTTCAGTGAGAAGGCTGTGCCTGTTTATTTTACACTGTAAAATAAACCTGAAAAACCAATTGTACTGTAAAATTTACAGTACAATTTACAGAAAAACCAATTGTACTGTAAAATTTACAGTACAATTGGTTTTTCAGGTTTGATTTTTTTGTTTGATTTTTTTCTGTTTTTTCCATTTATTCTTGATACAGGTCATTAAATATGACCAAAAATGTTAGAATTTAATAAATACAGCTGCATATTTAAAAGGTTTTCTTGAGTGTGTTTAGTGGACAAGGGGCTGTTTATGGTTAGCACTATATGCTCACCAAGTTTTGTTCTAATCAGAGATCCAAATGTCTGGCCATCTCCTTGTTAGACAAATGGCTTATAGAGCGGTTTAATTAACAAGATTTTGTCAGATATACTGAATATGTATTATAATACTCAATATGAAAAACCAATTGTACTGTAAAATTTACAGTACAATTGGTTTTTCGATCGATATTTAGCTCTCAACAGAAAGAAAATTAAATACATAGTTTTTAAAATCACTGATATAGTTTTAATATGGCCCTGAGGGGGGTCACCAAAATTTTTTAACTTGTAAAGGAGTCGCTTATTCATGAAGGTTGAAAAACACTGCCATAGAATATCCTTTTAAAAAATGTTCCAAAACGCTTGTATCATTAATTCGAATTTTCTCAGAGTTTGGAGTTTGATTTTTTTCTGTTTTTTCCATTTATTCTTGATACAGGTCATTAAATATGACCAAAAATGTTAGAATTTAATAAATACAGCTGCATATTTAAAAGGTTTTCTTGAGTGTGTTTAGTGGACAAGGAGCTGTTTATGGTTAGCACTATATGCTCACCAAGTTTTGTTCTAATCAGAGATCCAAATGTCTGACCATCTCCTTGTTAGACAAATGGCTTATAGAGCGGTTTAATTAACAAGATTTTGTCAGATATACTGAATATGTATAATATCAAATATTAACACTGGGCTGAAACTTTGCCATTTGTGACATTTGCTATAACATTTCACAAGATACAAGATAGTTATTCACTGTTCTTTCTGGTTCATGGTCATCATGCTACAGTTCCTACTGATCTTATATACAACCTACATTTCCAGAGAATTTTGAGGATTAGTCTGCTTTTCTCAGTGCAAAAGTTCTCAGAAGCTTGAAATCTGCATGAATACATACTTGATGGTTAAGCATTATGACGAGTGATATGATGCTCCTCATTAACTTAATTACTGACATGTGAATTATTGTGGATCTACACCTTTACTTGTAGGCTGGGACTATATGAGAAAACTGTTTTGTCAGTATTTTGGTTCTTATAGTATGTTTCACTGGAGCTCTAAGGTTACCTATGAAGTCTACAACAGCTAGAATTTGTGGTCTACAACAGCTTTTGAATTTGTGTATGTAATCTGCATAAAACTTTATTTTCTTCTCATGACTGGACTTTGAAATCCCCAGTAGTGACATCATAAAAAAGAGGAAGTGCTACTATGAATTTGTGCATTCTAAAATTCAGCATACTGTTCAAGAACAGCTCATGCCAGTATCTCATTTCTGGACTGAGATTTGTTTAATTCTCTTTTAGTTTTCTGTTTTATTTTTAGAAGTTGTAACATCTTTTTATTTAATTTTTGAGTTGTGTGTGTGAAGAAACCACTGTCTTTATTCTTTCTCTTTGTGACAATATATTTGTTAAATAATTTTAAAAAGTTGTTCTTAGTTGTTTCAAATAGTATTTGAAAATATATCTAGTAAAACTTACCAAACCTCAAATCAAGGCATCTTTTTTTTATTTTAATTTGAAATATTTTTGATAATTTAACATCTCATTACCAGCAATCTCAAACATTCTAACAGAACAACAGATTTTCAATCATTTTAAAATCCTAAAAGTATTTAAATTTGTTGGAATGGAGAAAAACAAAACAAACAAGTTTAAATAATTCTATGATTTAAAATGTTTGAAAATCTGTTGTTTGATTAAGACATTTGAAATCACTGAGGATGAGAAGTTGAATTTTCAAAAATGTTTCAAATTAAATGAAAACTATGACTAAATCCATGGCATCTTCATTTATTGCTAAAAATCAAAGACAGCTGTATTTTTCATTTTGGACTAGACTTCTGGAATTTTTATAAATTTAAGTGATAAATATATAATACTTCTTTAGTTTCCATTATCAGTTTTTGTTTTCAAGGCATTTCAAACCCAAACTTTACAGGAGCATAAGTTAAATTTCATTGAGTTTTATGTAATGATAAGATTTTAACTGTTGTGTCTTTTTTATTCTATTTTGAAATGCCTCACAGGAATAACAGAACAATAATATATCTTATATCTAGACAGATGACCATCAAGTTAATCAAAACTTAGTGAAGTGGATTAAACTGGCCATAGACACTTAAAAATAGAAAAATTAATTTTACTGGAAATTTTTGTAAATCAGTTCTTATTCACAGTATTAACTAGGTACTTTCTAGGAAAAGGAAACTGAGCTTCACAGTTTAGATTTTCCTGTTTTGGCTTGACACAAAAACACAAATGTGGTGATGTGCTTCTAATGTCCTATCTACAGCAGTTTAAAACCAACAGGTATGTGGAGACATGATGCCCATTGTCATAGCCAACAAAAACTTCATGAAATATTTGAAACACATATATGCAGCCAACAGCCTACCAACTCCAGTGACCAGTTAAAACATGCACATGAGTGGATGCAGGACATAAATATGTGAGTTTTGAAAAGTTAACTGTATCATGACATTGTGTATGTTAAATGTCCATGGTAAAGATCAAAATGAAACATTGTTGTAGAGATGTAAATTGACAGCAGTCATAAACTCAATTGATGTATAGTGCATGGTGAGCTTACAACTGGTAACTCACCCATAGAATTTACATGGAGAAATTTGACATGGAATATCTCAACCCTTAGATCAAATTTCAAAATTCCAGCTTTGTCACATCAACCTTTCAAAGTTGTACGTATTTGTAAAAAATCATGTTTAATGGTTATACAATCCCTTTGAACTTTGATCACAGACAAACCACTTCCTGATTTACAAAGAGCTCTACTTACATTCTGCTCAAAAATGATGGATCAAGTTGGATGAAAAATAATAATTGATACATCAAATGCCAGTAAACACAAACCTTAAGTGTATATAAAAATTTTATTCTAATTTATTCTTTCTACATTCCTTTAAATACATGATAAAAATACAGTTAAACCCTGTTTCATACGAAGTTGAAGGGACTAAAAATTGGAATTTTGTGTTAATGAGGTTTGTATTAACCAAACTCATTAACATTGAAATGCCTTTACTTGTTGACAGGACTATAAATCTACTTAACATTAACGTGGACTTTGCACAAACTAATAACGTTACAGGGTTTAACTATTTTTGTATTTAATTTTTTAAATATTATATTTTAATTCAAAAAATTTATATGTTAATACAATATTTCATTTCTAATAGATAAGAAAATCTTGCAGTGGACCAGCGTTAACAATTTATATTAAAACAAAGAATGGAACTCAGTTAGATGTAGATCTTGTTCCTGTATTGGAATTCAAATACCCAGATTGGCCTGATGGTGCTAAGAAAAGTTTTAAAACATCAATTCCAGATGATGTATGTGCTTATTTTTTGTTTTAAGATTTTTAAATAATAATAATAATCTATTTTAATTCAAAAATATTCAAATTTTACCTAATAGATATTGTAATTTAGAGTAAAAACATTAGAGTAAAAATTTGAATATTTTTAAAAACTGAAATTTAGAGTAAAAACATAGCATACACAAAAAACCAAAAATCCAGCAAAAGAAACGTAAAATATAATGGAATCGATAGTTTATCATTAAATTTTATATTTCTTTTGCTGGATTTTTGGTTTTTTGCATGTGTTATGCTTTAGATTTACCTGCATCAGTTCTATATAAGGTGCATCCAAAAAGTTTATGGAATGAAAATTATTTTAAAAACATTAAAAACTGGACAACCCCTGGTGTTTTACCTTTTAACATCACTTTATAAAAGTTATAAGTAATTTATTTTGGCAGTTTTTCTTTTTTATGTAATCTTCTCTTCTTTGCATTTCTCAGCCATGTTTTTACCGTATCTTCCACTTATGCCCTTGACACACCATCTATAGCTTTCATAACAGCATCTGTCATTGAAAATATGTTAATTTATATACAATGCAAAATGAAATTCAAGACTCTTAAAACAATTTTACTGAGAAAATCATAGGCAAAATTATAACTGAATGATTAAACAGAGCATACAAATATAAGTACAGTAATACCTCGACTTACGCTACCCCGACTTACGCGAACCCAAAGTTACGCGATTTTCAAATCTCATTGATTTGTCTTTTGTTTGAGCGCCACGCAACTCTTGATTACTCACTCCCCCTACACTATTGTTTAGCTTACATATTCGGACGTGTTGCGCGAAATTGACACATAACTACAATTTATTTTGTGTTATTTATTTCTGTGTTTGTTATATTTACGGAGACTCGAGAAACTCTATGTGGTGATTTCTTGTAACCGTGAACGAATCAAAAGACAAGATAAGATTAACGAGAGCATTTATTAGCTTACATACATCTGACTTGGATTTTACACAAATTGCGAAATTATACCCCGACTTACGCGAATTTGACTTAAGCGGTTATCGCTCGGTCCCACCTATCGCGTAAGTTTGGGGTATTACTGTATATGTTGATAAGTTTAAATTTTTTTTTTAATAATGCACTGAACAAAAGTTTACAAGTATAATAAAATGATGATAATCACATAATAATAATAATCCCCCCCGAGGTGTGCCACCTTGCCATGGTGGGGCTTATCTGCTCCTAGGAGATTGATTGCTGTGCTGGCAGTAGTTTACTACCAGTAAGTTCAACCAAGCCAGAGAGGTCTCAGCTGAGGAGTTGTACTAAGTGCACCCAACCTATTAACACTATGGAGAAACAAATGAAAACCAAGTCTATACTGGCTCGGTCGTCTCCCAGGATAAAAAGGACTGCGGCGGATGTTGCTGATTCTGAGCATCCGTTGTTAAGTGGGCTACAGAGTCAGAATACAAATGAACAACCACGGAAGCAGCAGAAATACACAATGTCAGAGAACCGTGCAGTTATACAATGCTACTATGCATCAGAACCTCAGAAATGTGGTTACCAAAACAGAATGCACCAACTGTGGAAACAAGAATACCCTGATTCACAATAACTGAACTTCGACTTGCTGATCAGAGAAGATTTATTGTCAGAACTAAGGTGTTCAGTGAACTTGGAACTTGAAGAGATTCAGAGGCTCAGTGAGACTGCTGGACAGAAATTCTCACATCTGACAGTGGCAGAAACTCCGATGATATTTGGAGCATCAGAACACACCGAACCAGAAGTAAATGCGAACCCTTTACAACAAATTGAAGGACAGGTAGCTGAGACACTGGATGAACACCCAGGAACTTTAACAACAAGGCAACAAGAGCTTAAGGATAAAATCATGGCTCATGCTGCATTAAATGCAGTAAGAAAGTGCCTTCCACCTTTGAAAATAATACCTAAAAAATACCTGGCTCCTATCATGAAGGACATGAATACATTACTTTCTACTATCCAAATAACATCCATTGAGCAGACAAATCAGATGGCTTACAGTATTGCAGTGGCAGTAACAGAGGAGTTGGGGCTCTTAAAACTAATGCAGCCAACAAGAAAGTCAAACCAAAAACCAAAGTGGAAGATCAGGTTGGAATTGAAAATCAAAAATCTGTGATCGGATGTGAGTAATTTGAAAAATATGAAAGAAAAGAAACTGAAGAATGCTAAAACCAAGCAATACTTGGTTAGAAAGCATTGGCTGAACACTCGGAAAATTGAGGAGGCTTTGGAAATTGTAAAAGAACAAATTGTAGCAACAGCGAGGAAAATCAAAAGATATGAGGCCAGGATCATCCAGTACAGGCAAAATCAACTATTTCAGACAGACCAAAGATGGTTTTACCAACGTCTGAGTAAACCAAGAGATAGAATAGCTGAACAGCCTGAGAAAGCAGCAACAATTGAGTTTTGGAGAGAACTCTGGAAAAATGAGAAGAATTATAACAAAAATGCTGGATGGATAAAGGAGTTCGAAGTAAGATTATTAAAGAACAAAATGCAACAGATGGAAATAACAACTGCAATGATTAATAGGCGATTAAAAAAAGTTAAGAATTGGACTTCACCTAGCAATGATCAGATGCATTAAATACTTGACCTCTCTGCATAAAATAATGGCTCAGCAATTCAACGAGATGTTGCAAAACGGAAACATCAAAGAATGGTTAGCAGTTGGAAGAACATATTTGATACAAAAAGATCCAGTAAAGGGAATAGTGCCAGGAAACTATAGACCAATCACTTGTTTGCCCACTATGTTTAAATTGTTGACCGGAATCATTGCTGATAGGATTCAAGATTATCTTAAAGAGAATGATATTGTGCCAGATGAACAGAAAGGTAACAAATGGAAAAGTAGAGGCACAAAAGATCAGCTTTTAATTGACAAAATGATACTGGACAACTGTAAAAGCCAAAGAACTAATTTACACATGACGTGGATTGACTACAAAAAAGCTTTTGACTTACTTCCACATAGTTGGGTAATTAAGTGTTTAGATACTATTGGGGTTTGCAAAAAGGTTGGCAACTTCGTTGCAAACATGATGCGATATTGGAAGACTGAACTATTTGTTGGAAATTAAGCTATGGATTGGTCAATATTAAGCGAGGGATCTTTCAGGGAGATTCCTTGTCGCCATTGCTCTTCATCATTGCCATGATACCTCTGTCAATAATCTTACGACAAACATTCTGTAATGTGTGTGTTGTGATGTTCGTGTTTTGTATGTGTTTTGATTTTCTTGAAAATGTTTCTGAGTTGTTTCTTTAATTTGGGTGTTATGTTGTTTTTAGTGTATTGTGTCAGCCTGCCTAATTGCTGTCTAATGTCATTTATTTGTGTTTCTATTCTTCTCTGCCAGGCAGGCTTGTGATAGGATTGTGTTTTGTGTCTGTCTGTCTGTGATTGTATTTTCAGTCCATGGTGTGTTACTACTGTGACTGCCCCGGCATAAACTAATGTATGAATGTCTGAGAGTGTAGAAATTGAATGAATGTAGTTTGGTAGTAAGTGAGTGTTTACATAATTTAGTGTTTTTCCTACTACCTTTGACGTGTTGATTTTCGGTATTCGTGGTCTTTGTGTGGGATCTGTACCTGTATATTTAGTGAGTGTTTCCTGAAATATAAGTGAGAGTGTATTAACTAATTCTATGTCTACGTTATCAGTGATGGATGGGGAAGTGCCTGCAGTATCATTAGTGGTACTTGTTGTGTGTGTGCTGTAATCAGTGCTTGTTGCTGGATTATCCTGACAGGTTACGTGATCTTCATTAATGTTAAATGTTTCTGTCTGTTGATGTATTTGATCAGCAACCTGTTGTTTGATAAGTTCAAGTGTTGTTTGTGGGATAAGGTTGTTGTGTATAATTGTTCGTTTTTGATCAACAACCCTTTGTTCGGTGACAGTGAGGTGAGGATATTGTTGTGTGAATATGTGGTGTAGTTGTTGTCTGTATGCTGTCATGTTTGTTTCGAGTCTTGTGATGGTGTAGTAAGTGCGGATGATAAACTCGTTCATTTCTGTTGTCCATTTCATCCGTTGGCGTGGTTTTCCAGCCTTTGTGGTCTGTGGATGCATTGCCACAGAAACACCAAGGCTAGGTTGGTTCCTTACATCTGTTGAGGGCATTGCAGTAGCCATACTTGGGCCAGTGCTGCTTTTGCCACCGGTAACCAAGGGAGTCTGGAGCCTATTTTTCGAACGTGAGCCTCTGCCTAACCCACGAATGCAGACCTTGTTCACCCGGGCGACATCCGAGCCGGTATCATAGTTAGATCTGGTTACTTCCATGATAATTATCTCCACATAATGTGGGTGTGTGGTCACTCTTAGCTTCATTTCTCCCCATAGACCTTACTGGCATGGGTGTCCCTACCAGGAGCTTGTGCTCCAGCCTGCATTGCCCTATGGTTCAGTAAAATTACTGGGCTCTCCCACCACGACCAGGTGGTGACCACGGGAGAGTTATTATTATTATTATTATTATTATTATTATCATTATCACACTGTACATATGTATTAATATATTAATTTTTCAGGAAAAATATTGGTTTATTGTTCCTAAACCACCACAGGAAAATTCCATTAAACCATGTCAAAATTATTCTTATCAATGGAGATTCCACTTTCCTGGAGTAGAGAAACACTTATTACATAACAAAGGCTGTGTGAAGCCTATAATTAAATTGTTAAAGGTAATTTTTAATTAAAAGTTATATTAATTTCAAAAATTTATTGATAAATAAATACAGTGGTACCTCGGTATACGTCTGCTTTAGAATACGTCCAATTCGGAATACGTCCTGTTTGGACGAAACAAATTTTGCTCAGTATATGACTTTTGTTCGGTATACAACTTAATTCCATTATATGCGCCATCTATGAACAAGTAGAACTATCGGTGTACTAGATTAGACTAGATGTTCGCGGTGCCACAGTTTATTACTTTGTTAAATTTTTCCTGATTTTAATTTTTAAGTAAAATTTTATTATTTTTATTAATCATGAATTGCAAAAAGGCAAATGAGAAGCAACAGAAAACCAAAAAATGACTAGAATCACAATGGAACTGAAAAAAGAGATTGTTGAGAAATATGAAGGTGGCACGCGTGTTCGAGATTTTAACTGTTGCATATCGCATTCTGAGAATGACGATATTGACAATCGTGAAAAATAAAAACATTATTAAATCTGCTATCATTGCAAAAGGGGTTAAATCAATTTCTAAACAGAGATCAAAGACATTAGATCATGTTGAGAAAATGCTTTTGCTTTGGATAACTGAAAAAGTGTGCTGGAGACATCGTATCAGAAGCAATTATTCGCGAGAAAGCTAAAAAGATACATGCTGATCTCACGAAAAATCAAGCAGAAACTAGCCAGGAAAGCGAGGTGTTTCAAGCCAGCCACTTTTTATACATGAGAATGGATTAATCATTTTTATGTTACTTCTTATGGGAAAGGTTGGTTTGGTATACGTCCTATTCGGTATAAGTCCAAACATCAGGAACGGATTAAGGTCGTATACCGAGGTTCCACTATATTTGTAAATATTTCCTGATAATATAACAGTACTTCCTGATGTAGCCCAAATTTGGCTGATTTTCGCAGACTTATCACAACTTCTAGATTAACTAATGAAATGGAGTCAGAGATCAAGTTCTGAAATATACACTTTTGTTAGTATTGGAAATGCATTTTGGACTTTCATCAGGAAGCATTAACCCTGGCAATGATTAATAGGCGATTAAAAAAAGTTAAGAATTGGACTTCACCTAGCAATGATCAGATGCATTAAATACTTGACCTCTCTGCATAAAATAATGGCTCAGCAATTCAACGAGATGTTGCAAAACGGAAACATCAAAGAATGGTTAGCAGTTGGAAGAACATATTTGATACAAAAAGATCCAGTAAAGGGAATAGTGCCAGGAAACTATAGACCAATCACTTGTTTGCCCACTATGTTTAAATTGTTGACTGGGATCATTGCTGATAGGATTCAAGATTATCTTAAAGAGAATGATATTGTGCCAGATGAACAGAAAGGTAACAAATGGAAAAGTAGAGGCACAAAAGATCAGCTTTTAATTGACAAAATGATACTGGACAACTGTAAAAGCCAAAGAACTAATTTACACATGACGTGGATTGACTACAAAAAAGCTTTTGACTTACTTCCACATAGTTGGGTAATTAAGTGTTTAGATACTATTGGGGTTTGCAAAAAGGTTGGCAACTTCGTTGCAAACATGATGCGATATTGGAAGACTGAACTATTTGTTGGAAATTAAGCTATGGATTGGTCAATATTAAGCGAGGGATCTTTCAGGGAGATTCCTTGTCGCCATTGCTCTTCATCATTGCCATGATACCTCTGTCAATAATCTTACGACAAACATTCTGTAATGTGTGTGTTGTGATGTTCGTGTTTTGTATGTGTTTTGATTTTCTTGAAAATGTTTCTGAGTTGTTTCTTTAATTTGGGTGTTATGTTGTTTTTAGTGTATTGTGTCAGCCTGCCTAATTGCTGTCTAATGTCATTTATTTGTGTTTCTATTCTTCTCTGCCAGGCAGGCTTGTGATAGGATTGTGTTTTGTGTCTGTCTGTCTGTGATTGTATTTTCAGTCCATGGTGTGTTACTACTGTGACTGCCCCGGCATAAACTAATGTATGAATGTCTGAGAGTGTAGAAATTGAATGAATGTAGTTTGGTAGTAA